TTTAGTGACTTTTCTGAGGAAGGAATCTTGAATTTGAATTTCTTCAAAATGTTTATCTTATATCTCTACAGTATTTTCCCAGAACACATTGCGAGCGGAGCCATGACCAGAAGTTGGTCATACAGAGCGTGCACCTCGGGCTCCATGGTTAATTCAGGGTGAGCTGCCAGGGCTTGGCTGTGGACCCAGTTCATGGAAAAATACTTTTTTTTTAAAGACCAGGTCTTTTGCCAAACCTCCAGAACCTCCCAGCGTGACCCCTGACCCTCCCCGTGCCGCGGAGGGTTTTCTGGCGGCAGCCTCCCAGCCGACAGACATAATGCTCCCCCATATGGCAGACACCGTCTCCTGCTGAGGGTCCCCTCCACTTCTATGAATACACACAGTGTAATAAAGGGCTCAATTGAATTAATCAGCTTGAAGACATTAATCAGACATTAATGAAGTATTGACCTCTGCTCTGCCGCTGTTTACTTCTCCAGTCGTATCGACCTGCTGCTCCGGGTTTTCTTTTTTTATGGTTGAGAATCTCCTGATTGTGACAAAACTGACACAAACTCTGAAGCTGCCGCGGATTTTTCTGCACGATGAGACAAACACAAAATACATTTCAATGCCAATACATCAAGTTTCACTGGATTCAGCGTGAGGGGTGAATGGTGGATTCAGTTAAAGGCTGTCTGTTTTCAGGTTCTCCACGTTTATGATTTAATGTTGGATAGTTTTGGTTTCAAAGTGTTTTTAAGTCTGAGTGAGCTGAAGAGGAGAGTCGTTCCTTCACGTACGTCACAGAAAGACGGATGAGCTGCAGGTTACTGAATATTCTCAAACCAAAACATCTTTACTGCTGTTTCACTGATTTTGTAAGTTACAGCCAAACATTTCATTTCTATTTATTTTTGAATGTTACTTATTTATACTTGTTGATTTCTTTGTATAACTTTAATTTAGTTTTGCTCTGCAACTACAATAAAGTAACTGTATTCTGTTCTATTGCTTAGAAAGATTCAAGCAATTAAAAGCAAGTTCTTTTGTTTGTTAGTTCGTACAAATAAAAAGTAATTTAGAGACCAATATTCAAACACACACACACGCACACACACACACACACACACACAGCATCCTTTGATTACCGAATTGTGTTATTTAATATTTCTGTAAATTCTGGAGCAACTGGTTTGAAAACCTTTATGTTTACAATTAATCTGCTGCTGTACAAAGTAATTAACGAGTCAGTGAGTCCTTGTGTTTAATAATTTGTTGATGTAGAGATTTAACCTTCGGAGGAGAAGCTCTGCTGATGAATCCTGTCGTCTTGCGTCGTGATCGTTCATCGAGCGACGCTCTTGATTAGTGAATAATGGGACAATGGGACCCAACGACTGTTATTACGGTAATTTTCCCAACAAGTAATTAAGGAGGTGCTTTCAAAACGGCAGAAAGAAAAAGAGCGAGAATCAGGAAGGAGGTAAATTGCATACCATCGGGCAAATGTAGCTTTTGTCTCGGCCGCGATGTAAAGGAAGAGTGGAGCGACTAATCATCTCCCGTCGTTCGGCTGATCCACTTGTGATAATCGTGCATTGTTGGCGAGGTTGGAGGGTCAGCTCTCTTCAATCAGGGATTCTGTCAAGACTCCGAAGGTAAAGAGACACGGCGTCGCCAATCCACCCAACAGGAGAAATAATTACAAAGAGAAATAATTAGAAAAGCTCCATCATCAGCTGTTGGACTTTCTATTGAATTTAATCAAGTTTTACATTTGGAACTGACTAAATTAAAACTGGGCTAATGACTTCCCACAGTTTATTCACATTTCTGACAGAAAACATGAGAATCCAGCGTCAATATTGATTTTTTTTAAATCTAAATATAAACCATAAACATATTCATTCTAAAGAGATGTTAACTAATGGGAGAGATGAGTGCATGGAAAGTATGACTGTGATTCAGAGAATTATTTCATAGTAATGCCGGTCATGCCAAATGAGCTCCAGATTATAATAATACCCCTGGCGAGCAATTAAATCCTTATAAACACTGCATGTAGAGAGCTGGCACCAGAGTAACACACACACACACACACACACACACACACACACACACACACACACACACACACACACACAGCGTCCTTTGATTACTGAATTGTGTTATTGAATATTTCTATAAATTCTGGAACAACTGGTTTGAAAACCTTTATGTTTACAATGAATCTGCTGATGTACAAAGTAATTAACGAGTCAGTGAGTCCTTGTGTTTAATAATTTGTTGACACGCACCCTGGAGACTTATTCTGACCTTAAACTCCCACTTTACTTAACTTAACCTCAAGAACCTTAAAACATGTCTCCACCTTAAAAACGAATGATTAACAGTGAGGAACTTCTTGTCTCCATGGAAACATCATCATCACGTCACTGTGTAAACCATTGTGAAATTTTGCAGAGGATGGAGATCTGTATTTTTATTTCTTTAACATTACGAGATCTGAGTTTTTTTTTTTTKTTTATTTCTCAGATAATAACTAAAAGATCTTGATGAAAAATCAAGTGATATTTACGAGTGAAGTTTGGTGCAGATCCTAAAAAAATCTTAATGAAGTGTCGTTTGAAAAGGAGACAGTTTGGCGTTTGTGGAGTTATTTGTTCTACTTCTATACTTTGGATTAATGGAAATCATCTTTTCTGTGCCTCATGACCTCTCAAATTATTTGTTTTATGTTTATTATTGTTTTAAACGATGATTTCGCTGTCGATCGACTAATTGATGAAGCGTTCAGCTCGTAAGGTTTAACATTTATTTAATATAAGGTTATTTTAAGGGACTCTGTTAGATTAAAGGTCTGAGGAACAACATGTGCCTTCACACACAGAGCAGCATTAACGTGTCGGTTCACACCCACACTGAGAGTCTGTTGGAACCGAGCGGAGCCAGAGCAGCCGTGTCTCCTCCTGCTCATCTGTGGCCTATGTTAATATGATTAGACTGGATTATGGTAATGTGCAGGGGGATCTGGTGCCTCGCTCGTTTCAGGGAATGGTTAATTGGTTGGGCTGCTTTGATGTCGTGGCGTTGAGAGAAGGGGGTTGGTGGGAAAAGACAAACTCCAGCCCATTTTATTTTTGGCCTGCGAGGGATGGGCGCTGGCAAGTGGTGAAAAGGAATGAAACCTGATGAAACCGATGAGAACGGACGCAGGTCTGTGAATATTCAGGGAACAAGTGTGGGAGAAACACGAGACATATCTTATTCTCTCCCGCTGAGCCAAGTCAACTGTTGATCTCACTGAGCTTCTGTTTGTGGCTCGATGAACGTAATGAATACCTGTCAGGTTTTTTTCAATGATCTTTTGAATGTAATTTGAAACACGAGTTGTAAACATGTGATTGTAATGTTGTGTTCTCTTGTCCACAAACACTTCTACAATATTCTGTCACTTTTTTATTGTTAGTGTGCAGAGTGAAGTTAGAAAACTTTGTGTTCATCCTACCTGGTTTATCTGCACTGAAGATTTTACACTGAATTTGCTTTGTTACTATTCATGAGTGTGGTTTATATACACGTTTGAATGATTTACTGAACATATGCTATTTTTTCAGTTTTGTTAAGCATCGACACGATCACAAAAAACAAACATTTCGCTTTTACTTTGAAGACAAATTGCAGAACAGGAAGTGATTCTATTAATGTTGTGGTCATGACCGAGATCAGAACCTGTGAATATCTGTCTCAGTCACAGATGGCGACATAAAATAAGCAAAAATCAAACCGACCTAGTTGCCGACCACTAATTGATCTGACGTAGAAGAAGACACGTTCAACTCCATGTTTCCAGTTTGGAAACATTCAGCTTGTGTTGTGGCTCCTGCTCAAACCAGATCTCTGGAAAGTTTCAGCCCCACATCATTTGTTCTTGGTTTCATTTTACACTTTCACATCTAATCCATCATTTTAGCTTTCAACCATTTTTAAAACGAGTAAAATGGAAACTTAGAGGTTACCTGAAGTCCAGTGAGTAATTCAATATTCTATTAGTTATTGACGGTATGAAATTTGAAGGCTGGACACATTCTTCAGATTAAAAATCAAGACGAGTGTTATAAGTAAAAATCTTGCAATTTTATTTGCATATAAAGGCAGCTAAATATATCACAATGAACTGAAAGAGAGAACTAACATTTCCATGAAGAGGGATACAATCAGAAGAAAGAGCGAGAGAGGAACAGAGCACGAAAAGAGCATTTACAGCGGCAAAGTTGAGACAACTATTGGCAACATTTTTTTTTGTGCTAGCAAGATTGCGTTTACACACAGTGCAAAATTAGAAAAAAGAAAAAGCAATAAAACACAAATACTATCAGATTTACACTTTAAAGGACAACTTATTGTTTAGGCAGGCGTGTTGTCGGGAACAACCGGCACCTGTTGGATTGTGACTCTGGCAAATTTTCCTCTCTCATCCAAAATGAGCGTCTACCCTACAGGGAGAGTCGATACAAAAAACATTAAAGAAACGAGAAGAGCGTCCGATGGGAAACATGTCAATCATACGGGTGCATACGGAAAAAAATGCACCAGATTTTCTTTTTTCGTCAAACACAACTTTTAGTACAGATGTTTTACAACATGAATATATAATATATATATATTTTATACATACATTTTCCAAATTAGATCAGAAATCCATGGTGGGACGTTACAAAGTTAATTTTTCAGGCTGTAGGTCGAAAGCTTCCTGTCCCTGCGTTCGTCAGGTGTTGTTCTGCGGGGATGATGGGGAATAAATAAAGACTTTTCTCTGAGCTTGCAGAGAGTGGGGCTCTAGCTGAGAACATTAAAGCTAGTTTAAGGCAGCGTCCCTGTCAGCCAATAAGAAAAGAGGAACTGACGGAAAAAAAACAAAGACAACCCAATCGCAAAATATCTGATGATACAACATAAAACAACGGCATCCATTGTCCGGCCAATGCAAACCAAACAAAAAGAAATTGTACAAATTCACAAAGCATCATTTATTTTACAGATCTGACCAATATTTATCAAGAGCAAGATTGTTTAACCACAAAATCCCTCGGAAAAGGAGAATACCGGCGTCATTCACACTTTACATTCCCTCCAAATTGACGTTGAAACGCATGCTGCAACTACTGAGACTTCAACAAGTATTTTTTGTATGTTTTTTTTGTGTTTTTAAATAGAAACTTTAAACCAAATCAACTGTAATCAAACCAAAAGACACCCAAGAGAAGACATGCAAAAGTGACTCGATAAGATATGGAAAGCCAGAGAGGACAAAGGTGTTTTTTGTTTTCCTGCAATCACAAAAGTTTTTATTTGGGACAATGAAACTGTTTTTTTCTTTCTGTCCAACATTTATTGTTTCGTGATCTGAAGAAATAAACACAAGTTGAAAAAGTGTCAAAAACACGATCAAGAAATAAAAGTTTCGGCTCTAAAGCAACAAAATGTTTGAAGGATTATTTTCAGGATGAGGTTTCCATTTCTTCCTATGGCTGTCGGACGATTGGCAGGAAGCAGACATCGCGCGGACGTGAAAACGTTCAACGCGCGGATTATCTTGTTTTGTGGAAGTTTCACGCTCTTGTTTGTGAAAATAGTTTTTCCTGTTAAACACTGAAAAACATTCTCGCTCTTCCTGAGAAAGAAAAAAAGAAATCTGAGGGAAACCAGAATCGTTGGCACAAACTTTTAAAAAATAAAAAACACCGATATTCTCCTTTAACCCCGCCCCCACACACACACACACACACCTCCAAATCTTCTCCGTCCCAACAACAGTGTCGAGACGAACAAAAGTTTGCAAAGAAACACTTAGAAGTTTTTTGTTTGTTTTTTTTAAACTCGACATATTTATAGAAAAAAACTAGCTTAACCTGCCCGAGACCCTCCCCACCCATCCACCCCCCCGCCCCGTGTCCTCTGGTCTCAGGAGGAGGAGGGGTTGGGCAGGTCGAACACGATGGGGGGGTTGGTGGGCTGGAAACTGACAGTGCAGGTCGACGCGTTGATGAACGTCGTGAAACCGTCTGTCATGATCCCGTAGCCTGAGGACGGAGGACACAAGAGTCAGTAACACGAAGAACCGTCAACATCTTGGAGGAAGACTTTTATAATTATAACTCTTAAAACGTATTATCCTTCCTTCTATTTCCTTGTCTCAGCATGAATCACTACAAACAGCTTGAGTTTAATTAAACTTCAATTTATGGAGTTTATGGTTTGTATGAATTTTAGCTTTATTCTCTTTCACTTTGTTTTCAACCCTCTCTCTCAGTTTGTTCTGAAAATATTTCCACAGCTGCTTTCAGACGTTCACTGAACTCCAGAGATTTCTCGATGGTTTTTCTCCAGAGGACGTGCACGTGTGAACGCAAATGTCCGAGTCAGAGCCACCGGACTTAACAATGTGAGACAGGGCAAAACATGTTTAGGGAACTGATATCTATGAGCGGAGGTTAAAATGACATGACAAGTACATGGAGTAAAGTCAGAAGATGATGAAGTTCACCCACAATATTATTGTTGTAAAATGAAGTTTCTCTTTTGGACTCAAGGTTTAGTTAGGAGGACAAACAGATAGCGACTTGGGGAAGGTACAAAGAAGAGGCGGAGGAGACACAACAATGGTTTAGATACACGTGTTCACTAGAGAAACTTTTAATCTGAAGGAATGTGGCCAGCTTTACTTTGTAGGCCCATGATGCACCTCTTGCAAGGACAGCTCAGATCTGGTGACGGTAAAACATCTGCTCAGTGTCTGTGATGCATCTGGTGCTGACACTAAATCCTCATCGATCATTTACCTCACGATTTCTATCTGTGCATATAATGTGAGGTTTAGCTGCAAAACACAACGTTGTGTTAGCTTTGAAATCACGTCAATGTTTTTATGGATGAGGCTTTTGTTTCTGCGTGAAAAATCTCTGATGCTGTTTCGTCCACACTCAGTTAGGAGGTGAGGACCCATTCTCCTGCTTCTGCATTCATTAGAAACACATCTGTCCGATACAGTTCTCTACAGTAACGATGTATAAACAGAGAGGTTCAAAAGTCTGGGACCAGCCCCCCCGTACCTTCGTGGATGCCTCCGAAGGCGTGAAGTTTGGGTCGCACCCTCTTCTGGACCGTGTTGAGCAGCTCCACGCAGCCGACTCGCTGCAGCTCTTTAGGAACCCAGTCTCTGAAACCTGCACAGACACACACGGTTTTCAGTTGATACTCGGATCCCTCCACAGTCCTGACCTGACATGGATTCACTGAACTGTAACACATGAAGTCAACTTAAGTTTGAAGAACATGCTTTTACTTTTAGAACTGTTCGATGTAGGTGCCTTGCTCGGATTCTGGTCATATTGTTAAGTTTGAGAAAAGAAAACAAACTTTGATTAAAAGCAAATCTAAATTTACAAACTCAAAAACAGATTCCTTATTTCAACTTCAGAACCAGCTCTTTCATTCTGAACCCTGTGAATCAGTGCAAATCTCAGTGAACAGTGAATGAAACCCGTTCTTGATATTTCTTCCACAGATTCTTTTTTTCCATTTAGTGTCTACATCTTCAACAGCTCCCACCTCCCCCTCTCCCTGCTCTCCTTTCCCATGGTCTCTCTCCAATCGTTTGCAGCGTCTGTCACTCTGCTGCAAAATCGAGTTTCCATGCAATCAAACGGCCACAGCGGCTGCCGCAGCGGCAGCGGTGGAGGCACCGCTCCGTAGGCGAGAGGGAAGGAAATCACTCAATAAAGCCAGATGGAGAGCGGGAAGAAAAAAACAAAAAACAAAATGGGACAAAAAACACAACAGCTAGAAGGAAAACTGAAGCAGCAAAAAATGTGTTTTCTATTTCATAAAGTCAAACAAATATTGAATCACAGGGCACACACACACACACACAGACACACATACACAGAGACACTCACACACACACCCTGCTGCGACAACCCCCAGCGATTCCATAGAGACTATGAATAATGAGGCACAACCTCGTTGGATATGGTAATGAGGGGGACTGTGATTGGTTAATTGGACTCACCGAGCGGAGGTCCGTGGGTCATCAGGATGTCGATGCCTTCAGGGACGAGGTTCCATTTATCCAACAGAGACTGACCCCGAGGCAGGTTGAACCCCCAGCCGTTAAACCACGGAGTCCTGCGGAGATGGAGGGAGGGAGATCACATTAACGACGCTCAGGAGACCAAGTCAACCGTGATTATGGCAAAAATATAAAATCGTTACCAGGAAGCAGCGGTTATTATCACATTTATACAGCTTTTCTTCAGCCAGACATTTTTTTTTAATTTCTAAAACCTGCAGTGGTGCCAAGGTTTTGATTTAATGCTCTTTAATAAATTCACTTCACATATATTATTTATTCATAGCTTCATCCATAATCTGTGTTTTGATCCAAATAACCACAAACAAAACCAAAGTGTCCACATGACTGACAGTGATGCATGTTCAGGATCTAACAGACTTTAATATAAAAATAATAAACCAGTTAATTAAACGCTGTAACACAAAGTGCTGCAGGCAGGTTCATACACCTTTTACACTTTCAAAAGACAGATTAAAGTTTTGATTTCTGATTTTTGGAACAGTTTGGAGAATCAGGGCAAAAGTCAAAGAACAAACGTGTCTGTTAACACAACTTTGATATCCACTATTTTCACCTCATTATTTACGGTATGAGCCAGACTGATATTAACCTCAGAAGCCAAAAACCGAGCGACTGAATGTGCAGCTTCTACTAAAAGAAGAATAATTTTAAACATCATGTGTCAACATCTCCTCTGCTTCCCAGTTACAGATTGACTGACAGCAGCCCGGCCACCTCCAGCAGCTGGATAGGAGTCTACAGCTCCGGGGTGACAGGCAGCATCTCAGCCCCCCCCCCCCCCCCACCCCCCCACACACACACAAAGAAAGACTCGATCCGGCTGAGTGGGAATGAGGGATGGATAGACGGGTGGATGGATGGGTGGATGCAAGGGGTTGAAAACAGATGAAGAAATAAAGCGAAGCGTGCAGAGGTTATATGTTGGAGCGGGGGTGGGGGAACAGAGGAGAGAAAAAGAAATCGAGCACAGGCCAGTTGATAAATTGAGCCTTCATTTATCACAATAGTAGTAATGGCAGAAGAAGGCTGACAACAGAGGAAAGGAAGATAGATTATCATCACATGATACCTCAGTTTATAAACTGACTGGCTCCTGCACCCCCGGAAAAAAATCTTTTAATTTCACTTGGAGGTTTGCAGCAGAGAGTTGCTGATGAAAAGAGGATTCTTCCGCCGTTACTCCCAGGTTACTTTGGGGCGGGCCGCAAAGTTCAGAGCAGCTTCCAGGCACTTAGCGCTGGTGCTGCGTCTGGTATCTGACCGAGGGGAAATCATGGCTCCACAAACATCAATAAGCTTTGCTACAGTGAAGGATGGACGCGCCACGCGCTAATCAATACTCGCTGCTCCATGGGAGGTGCCGAGTGGGGCTAACCAGAGCCGGAGCAGACTGAAGATGTGTAAAACATGAGATCACAATCCCTCACGGATCATTTTAAAACACAACCAGGCTCATACGGCATCAAACAAGACATGAGAAACATTCATTACTTCAGCCTGGCCAGAGAAAGCGCTATGATGCCGTCCAAGCGCCGGATCAACCCATTCGGATCTGGTGGTTGAGCAGTATCGAGTGCTCTCGGACAAGAAGGCGGCGGCGGCGGCAGACCTGATGCCTGCGCTCTTTGATTTGCTCGCTCAGTCGTTGCCTCGTTCTCTCGCTCGGTGGAGAGCTGAGAAATGAGGTTAAAAATGAAATGTGAGGAGCGCACAGGGGAGTGAAGGCCACAGACTGAACTGATTAATTACAACTAATCACACAAATCGGAGCTAATGGAAGTCTAATGGATTACTGGGACGACTCGCCACTTCTCGGATGGTGAAAGCACAACCGCTGCTGCTGGAGCTGTGGAGGAACCTGGGCCTGGGTATTTATCTGGCTCTGGTTTTTGAGTAATAGCAACAAGGCCAAACTTTGAAAAATGGCTGAACGCATTTATTTTCCCTCCGTTCATAAAAACAAATGGAGGTTTCATGCAGCGAAAATAAATAAACAGCTGTAGCGTTGATTCCGCTCCATGTTTCACATGTTTTCTCCTGCATAAACACATTCGTCTGGGAGATGAAACATAACCCCTGACATGAGCCGAGGATCCAGAGCCAAGCAAAAGGTCCTGACTGAATGCAGAGCGGGGCGCTGCGGCTCGATGCCACAATGGCCCCATTGTCGGCTGTCTGCCTATGAAATATACCTTCCATGCAAGTGCATTTGTTAACCTCCGCCAAGATTAATGACATCCCGGTCACATAAAGGAGAGATTGTTTCCTGTGTGGCTGCAACACAGGTTTTATTATACTGTACTGATTGTGTGTGTGTGTGTGTGTGTGTGTGTGTGTAGGTCTGTGTGCGTGTAGGGCAGGTCCACCAGCTTCTGAGTAGGATGTGAGTGTTGAACAGAATGTTCGGTGCTAGTGTCTCAGTCTGTTCTCAGAGTGTATATATCTGGACCAGTGTGTGTGTGTGTGCGGCTATCATACTACATTCAGAGCCCAGTCTTGGCTTGACACTCGCCATCTGGAGCACGTCGCCGTGGCAACAAAGGGGAAGCTTCTGGAGGCAGGCACAGTGGGAAGTAAAACACCGACACAGAAATAGAAAAAGAAAAGGAGGTGACACCAGAGAAAAGAACGAGAGAGAGAAAGCAGAAAGGAGCGAGGGAGGATGTGGAACTATAAGACAGAGACTTCACCCCCCCCCAGATGTTCAGGTCTACGGTACAGCTGCTGACGCCAGGAAACAAATGTTTGCAAAAAAAAAAAGAAAACTTACTGAGGAGGAAAACCCTCGTCCAGAAAAATTGAATTTGACAGTTAACATTAGCTCCGGACGACAAAGTGAAACGCTGCGTCAAAAGGGATGAAAAGCTGGTAACCATGGTAACAGGGGCATTTAAGGATTGAAGGAACCCCCCCCAGTAATTAAATGGTTGAAGCGGGTTAAAAATCAGCAGCGCAGGACGGCAGTGGAGGTGAAACAGACAGAGGCCACTCATCCCTCGTGTGCAGGACGTCAATATTCAATTAGGCCGCTGGACATCATTAGTATGGCAGCGCTGCGTCTCTCTGGACGTGACACTGTTCTTAACCCCTCTGCTCCCCGGGCGGCGCTCTCTGGGTCCCAAGACAGGCTATGATATCCCCCGACTACCCCCCCACACACACACTAAACGCTTCACTCCTCTCATTACACTTTTTAATCTGACTCCTCCCTCTCCTCCCTATATATATATATATATATATGGATACAAATTAGGCTTAATGGAAAAACAACTTAAGGAAAAGACGGTCTCCAGTTAGTCAGTTAGTGGAGGTTTGATAAAAGACGTTTACCGTCTAAGGACGTAGGACGTGTTTATCTACGACACTGGGCGGCTTTTCGTTAACATGCTCAACGACATTTGGTTATTTGCTCGAGGCACAGAGGTAAAGAAACATGAAGGTGTACCGTTGTTCGCTGGAGTAGTGTTGGAAATAAAGTTTATATTAGTTTAAAATATGGCAACTCCAGGCTACTGCAACAGGCTAATACTATTTGTATTTGTACACAGGTGAAGGGGAGAGTGAGTACTGTGAGTAATGTCTATTCACTCTCTGACCTTCCACTTCCATGAGTTCCATATTATTTCTAATGCTTCCTGGTCATCTCGCTCTTCTTGGCTAATGATGGTTTTAGCTCAATACTCCATCACAGTCGTGTAATTTTCCAGTTGTAAATGTAAAAACTTTACAATTTGAAGTCTGTCAGATTAAGGCCGATGTCTATAAACCTTTGACACCACAGGATACTGTTATATGTGTTTCTTTAGCATTCATCGACTGCTTGACTGTGTCATCCAGTCTCATACATAACACCAGATATATTCTGATGAATAATACAGCGTTGAGTCTCTGGGGTTACACGTTTCCAATAAAATCCTTTCTTCTTTGACAAACCTGCTGTTTATTCAGTTGTTGGTCCTGTAAAGACTTTATTCTTTGTTTCTTTTATCCTGTTCCTGAACTACACACACTCACATTGTATCGTTACACCTGTAGAGACTGACTTCATATATTTCTGGAGCCTGAAAACTCAGTGAAGATTTCCCCTCTCCCACAAAAACCTGAAAAGATCTGACTTTCCCTGAATGATAAAGACTTGTGCCAGCTCACAGTGTCAGAGGTAGAATGACCAGACGACCATGGCGGAGGGCAACATTCCAGAAGATACTGAAGAAAACGATTTTCAGTGTATCGCTCACACGGCTGGTTTGTAAGATGTCGTCGTCTGTGTTAATATTCCTTCTGAATGGCCACACTCCAAGAGGAGAGGGAGAAGTAGTATCGTTCTCCAGGAAGTCTTTCACAGTGTTGCCCTCGGTTCACATGAGAAGCACCAGTTGTTGTGTAACAAAAACCTCCATACAGCTGCCCCATCGTGGTGTGAAGTGGGTGTGAATGTTGGATTGTTGTATGGGAACGTTACAGAAAAGACCTGCTTAAACCTTTAATAAAGTGAGAACTGGGAAACCTTCACATCAGAGGAAATCCCTCGTTCCCATGCACACATTTGTTCTGCAAAAGAGCAAACGCACACACATGGATGCACAAACACACAACCCTCTGCAGGGTGAGACAGAGCAGCATGTATGTGAATGTGTCGTAGCGAGAGCAGAGATAAGATCGAAAACGTGTAAAGTGGGAACCACCACCTTAAAGCCGGACACGGGCTGCACCCTGGGATATCAGACAAATAAACTGCACTGTAACCAGCCTGCAGATAAAAGCAGAGAGAGAGGGGAGGTGTGTGGGGGTTGAGTGAGTGTGTGCAGGTCCAGCGATCCATCGTGTCTGACCTCTGAGTCAGAGTGGCCCTGGGATCAGCGGGGGGAGGGGTCTAATTGATCAACCTGTCAGAACCAATGAGGAAGGCCATGTTAATGGGACTTTTATAAGTCCCGCGGGACGTACCACCTGACACTCAAAGCTGTATGAGTATGTGCCAAAGCAGAGTACATAACCTGTGTGTGTGTGTGTGTGTGTGTGTGTGTGTGTG